TCTCTCTCTCTCTCTCTCTCTCTCTCTCTCTCTCTGCTCCCTTGCTCCACACTTTCACAGTTGCGCTCTTCTTATTGTGATTTTTAAACAAACTCATGGTTTTTCAGTGGTCGGTATCTGAAGCTGGACGTCTCCACTGTGAACGGACACGAGCTCTGAGTGCGTGTGCGTCATCGGAGCGGCGCGTGCGGCGCAGCACGCCTCTCTGTGCCAAGTACATAAAAGCTGCTCCGCTCAGACTTTCTCTGCAGTTTCCCTCCAAGTTGGGCTCACGGCACCAGCCCAGCAGAAGTCTGATCTGGACCCAGCATGGATGTAAACCTGACGGGGGTCAGCGCGCTGGCGCAGCGGCTGTTTGGGAATCACAGCTCAGAAAACGGCACGAGCGCTCCGAAACCCACCGAGGAGGACCTGGAAGTCAACACGGACGTTTACTCCAAGGTGACGGTGACGGTCATCTACGCGGTTCTGTTCTCCGTGGGCTCTCTGGGGAACTCCATCACCCTGTACACCCTGCTGACCAAGAAGAGCCTGCAGAACCTGCAGAGCACCGTGCACTACCACCTGGCCAGCCTGGCCGTGTCCGACCTGCTCATCCTCGTGCTCTCCATGCCCATCGAGCTCTACAACTTCATCTGGTTCCACCACCCGTGGGTGTTCGGGGACGCCGTGTGCAGAGGCTACTACTTCCTGCGGGACAGCTGCTCCTACGCCACCGCGCTGAACATCGCGAGCCTGAGCGTGGAGCGCTACATGGCCATCTGCCACCCGTTCAAGGCCAAGAGCATCATGTCCCGGAGCCGCACCAAGAAGCTCATCAGCGCCATGTGGCTCGCGTCCTTCGCGCTCGCGACCCCGATGCTCTTCATCATGGGCCAGGAGACGCGCCGAGGAGAGAAGATCTGCACCGCCATCGTGTCCGCGGTCACCATGAAGGCTGTGCTGCAGGTGGGTGTGGCCACACTTTCCTCTGGGGGTCTTTACGCGCAGAAAACTTACAAAAACACAGAAATAACTCGACAGACTGAGTCTGCAGCTTTGGTTTGTGTGAGAGAGACGCGCGCCAGAGCGCACGAGGTAGAACAGAAACTGCTGGTTTATTTTACGCACAGCTGTGCTTCATGTTTGTTGGACTGAATCATGATCAGACAGAAACGCGTTTTCTTGTGTTGTTAAACGGCTTCTTCTGTTTTTTGGAGAATAATTGTTCCATTTAATGAACTGCATCCTGATTACGCRTGCGCGTTGGTTATTCAGTTGGTAAAGGGTCATCAGCTGAGAACTACAGCCCCGATTTCAAAAAGTTATTAAATAAAATGTAAATAAAAGCAGAATAAAGTTTGAAAATGTATTTAAACCCAAATTTCATTCACAGTGAAACAAAGTAAACATYGCAAATGTTGAAACTAAGACATTTTTAGGATTTAAGAAATGATCATTTTGACTTTGATGGCAGCTCAGAAACGTTTCTGCAGCACCCCCTCCTCTTTTACTAACACTCTGTAAACATCTGGGAACTGTTAAAGGTTTTGTTGCAGATTTTTGTTCCGTTTCTTTCTGGTCTGAATTTTTGAAACCATGAAGCAACAGATGTTTTCAGCTGTCTGCAGCTGATGTTAGGAAGTAGAGCTGTTGTGGGCGGAGCCATAAGTCTTTCAGAAATCTGTAAGTTTCTGTACTGGTGGAGCTTTTTTCTGTTCATKTAAGAGGCACCCATGCACCCCCATACCAWCAGAGAGACRTGTTTTGGTGGATGTAATTTGCAAAAGAAGTTATTTTTTTTCAGCTTCTGAAAATATGTTGATCATTTGAAGAGTTTGGATGTTTAATGTTGTTGTGATTCTGGGTTTGTTCGACTTTTTATTTCCATTTTTCTCAGTTTAGAGAACCTCGGATCATCTTGTTGAGAGATTCAACCTCTCAAAGGTTTCTCTTACAGGTCTGCTGCCAAATAACATATTTAGCTGTAAAATTCTCCTCTGGTTATATTTTTAGTTTTTGTTGCTTCTTTCCCAATTTTCACAAGACACATGTCAATAAATTAAAAATGTTTTCCCACAAATCCAGTTTCTTAGTTTTAATGTTAACATTAAACACAAATGTCTTTTTTTTTTTACATGAAAACCTTTTAAAAACTATTAATCAAAACACTTTTGTAGGGGTCACCTCGAGTGAAGAAACAAGATTTACTGCCTCGAAGCAGGCCTCAGACAGGCCTGACGAGAGGACAGGAACTCTGTGACAAACTGAACTCTATTTAGGCCATGACAGGTCATTCTAACCGTGGAAGAGAACCCCTCAGTTCTCTTAATCAGATAATGGACAGAACAATCTCTTCTGTTC